TTGCTTATTTCTGTGTGTAAACCTTGTTTTAACCTGATGTGGTTGGTATATGGGGTAACTATGATATGCTTGGCGTGGAGAAAATATCCCTGTGTCACACTGAATATCTCTTGAATTCAACGGAATGTAGGGTGGATACTTATTTAACTTGAATGGGCTCTAAACAAAGGACTGAGCCCATCTGTTTCCTCATTCTTTTAATATCGTTCATATAAAACAAACATATTTACATGCAAATAAAGTATAAATAATGTTGGTAAAAACTATCTTACAGCAATGTTTTTATTGTCACATGTGGCAACATTGGATTTCCAAATATCTTTGTTTGATACATCCATGCAAGTAAACCTTTATGCGTCAACAAACTTGCTGCAACACCCGGTATCTTGATCGCCTGTTCCAGTATCTATGCATATATTAGTATCTTTGGATGCGAATAGGCAATAAAAACTCACCTCAATAATCGCCTTTTTACTACTCTCATCTGCACATGCTGAATTATAAAATGAGGCAATCACATCAAATATTCTTTGTCTAGAAAATATCTTGTAATCTTCAAATGTTCCAAGAGACGATGATAGCATACGCAGCAGCCATAGACGCTCCTTTTTATGGTTTGCCGATGATGACATAAAGAGCGATGAAAACAAGGGAACATACTATAAAGACGTTAACAAACATGATCACCTATCTCTACATACAACTTACATCAAAGTCGAGTGTGGGTCGTTGTAATATCCATTTGGAAATATGAGAAAACATGAGATGACCAGGATGAAGCAGGATCGATAGTGTATGAGCAACACATACCGATATACACAGTGGAACCCTAGGAACGTTCGTTTGTGATCTATCCGTGATAGAATGTCGAAGCAAGTCCAAGACAAAGATGACTTCTCCTTGTTCCTTGAACCTGGCATGATCCAGCAATATATAAAACTGATCCATCATTTGATAGCATACTTGACGAATGCTGTCATCTGTGGACGACATACCCACTAGAATGAGACCAATCCCATTACAGTCAATCAACTTGCGACAATCGGCAATACCAGATGAAATGATGTTGGCAAAGAGTGGTAAAAAGAAGTAAGGATCATAGATCACTGGGAACGGAGGACAATCATTCCTTGTGGCGTCTGAAAAGTGTGTGAAGGTATACTTCATGATCGTTGGATCAATTAAACCGAGTGTATCAGAGGATACTGCATTTGTGCGCAATAATGTGCCTGCTTGCATATGCGCTTGACGTATCTTGTCTGTACCAGGGCCCCACATGGTCAATTTCGTCAATAAGCTGGATCGACTGTGGCGCTCGCACGTCATCAATATGTCCAATAGAAGCTTATCTGTAAATGATGTAGTCGCGCCGTAACTGGTCAACAGAGTGTCCAGCAAACCATGATTTTTGGCCAATACGTCTGGCTGAATTCTATTGAGTGTATGTATCAGCTGAATAAGAGCTCTTCGTTGCTCATCATTTTCAGGAATCTGTCGTGTGGCGAGGTATGCCAAATTAGGATCGGTCAACTTTGAATAGTCGTGATGGTCCAAGATGCGACGTAGATATGTCTCTAATGGTTCAAGTTTAGTCCAATCACCATACACCAAACCGACAACCGTCTCTACAAAGCGAATGGCACAAGCATCTGAGATATTGTCCATCAATGTAATCAAGATAAAATCTCGAACGGTTTCTAAATGAATGCGAGACCATTCGATGGGAGAAGCCTTCACAAACTTGGTTAGTTTATCAAAAAAGCCCCCTCCTTCCCATGTTGACATGCCATTGGCAAGACGTCGAATGATGTACTCTATCACTTGCATGCTGAACTCTGTTCGTCTGTCCTCCAAAAGCATACTGTCTGCTATCATGATCAAATCGACAACGCTATTTGTAAGCACGAGTGTATCCAATCGTCTTTCAATAAGACCAGAGACATCGAGAGCAGCAGACACACAGGCAGATTGTAACAGTATCATAGGAATAGAGCATTCCTTGCCTTCAAGAATATGTTGTACTATAGGCTTGCAAAACACGGCCAAGAGTTCAATCAGAGCAGGGTCATCTTGTTGTTTGGCAGATATGGCTTCGAGTAACGATAACATCTCGGTAGTCAATTGAACTTGCTTCTCTGATTTCCACATATCTGCAATCATGTATAATGCTTGGCTGGACATGACGTCTTGATTATAAGAATCAGTATAGATGTACCGTACAAGTGCAATCAGTAACTCTCTTTTATCGTCATTTGCTTTCATATCCACCTTGATAAGGCTAGCAAGAATCATGTGAGCATTATGCTTGCCATGTGCAAACATATCGATAAATGCTACTGCGAGACGTACAAGCTGTCAAAAGGTATATTTGTGAGAAATACACACATACGGTGATAGGTAGAATAAACTTACATCACTAGTATCGTCAGAACTAAGGGTCGTCACAAGTTCAGAACGAAGAGAGTCAAGTAGAGGGTGCTTAAAGATAGACTGCTGAAGTTGGGTTTGTACATGGTAATCTTCTATTGATTCTGTACGCTTGATTATATGTTGCAATAGATTGAAAAGATATCGCAAAGCGTCATAGTCTTTAGCATCAACGGCAATTAAAAGTTGCAAGAATATAAATGTGATCGCATTTGGAATCTGAGAGACCTTGAGAGTATGGATAGCATATTCTGAAACATTCAAAGCTAAGCTGTTGCTATACTCCTTCAAGACGACCGTATTATATAGGTTATAGGTGAAAGGGATTTGTTTTAACAGTGCGATAGCGTATTTACTATTTCAAATTGTTAGTCCATCTTGTACAAACTAAAACACGTTTAACTTACTCATCTATTTGATCATTGTGAAATACCGAATAGTGAAAGAAGCTGCCTGCCAAGGGGTGTCTAATACATAGGTACTCTACCAACGGTTCAAACCGTCTCCAGTTCAACGATTCATAACAAAACCTAGCTGCATCTTCCAAACAGCCATCTAAAGCACAAACAGGAAGCTGCTCCAGGGCATCAGTAAAGGCCTTTTTGGCAACAGGTATCTGCAGGACATTTTCTTCTTTATAAAAGTATCATGAGCTAAAAGTGACATGCAAACCAAGGGTCTGTTTTTTTTTGGACTTACCAGTTATCAATGATCTAAATGAATCATTATTACTACTACTTTTTATCTGTTTAGAAGCAGCTGCTTCTATACCAAGACATGTTTTAAGATTATGCATCATCTGATGAATGCCCCAAACATCAATTTTTGTAGGATCCATATTGTTACTACTGCCATCTAAAGTGATTTCCAGCACGACACGTTGCAAGTAATAAGGAACGGTCTGTTTTGTAAAGAGGTGCAAGATCAAGTTGGTGAGATAAAAGACAGCATGTGTCTTGTCTGTCTTTATAAACTTCAAGTTTTCACACAGAGTGAGCAAGAGCGGACTGAAAGGATGCTTGTACTCAGAAGGTAAATAGGCAGGTTGCTCTTTGTGGATTGAATCAACAAGTGATACAAGCTGGTCCGTGTATTTATACTGAGTTTTGCTGAAACGATGGATGCAATTGTCAAGATATTGCAAGACATCTGATTGACATGTCGACATGGCCACTTGATCCGAGTGGTTTTGAGGGAGTGCATTTAGCCATAGTTGCACTTCTTCTGGGTCATGCGCAAACATGAATGATTCGGATAATGTCTGGTAGATGAGGTTACCAGTAAGTTCACGAATATGTTGATAGGGCGTCTGAAGGTAGAGCGTGAGCAAAGTGGTGAGATGCGTAGATGACGATCCAGACGATCGGCTGGTCCAATTGAAGGTGGACATGCTTAAAAAGAGATGGAGCAGTTGCATCAAAAGGCCTGGTTTGACCGATAATATGTCTTCAGGTATAAAGTTGCTTACATCTATATTTGCTTCCATAATTGTTTCTGGTAAAAACTCTTGATAGTATCTTATCACTCGAAGTGCGGTTTCATAAAGAAACTCTCTTTGACTCTCCTGTTCTGCTTTATCCATGCCTTCATTTTTTTGACTAAACGTCTGCTTGTACAGGTTTATGACAGTCTGGATCTCTGGTGTGCGTCGTCGTAATCCTTCATGAACACGTTGTAAACATTTTGACCAGGCTTCGGATGATCTTGATCCGTCTTCCAGTCTTTCCAAGTCGTGTATCACCTTTTGAAAAGCTTGTTTGACCTTGTTGTACTTTTGAAATGATGCAGACAGGACAACCATCGTTGTATATCGCACAAGTGGACTGGCATGTTGCAGACCCTTACTAGAAGTGGCACGTCCGAACGCGTTTGGTAAAATATTGTCCAAGATGGTATCGGCTGTAGGAGGATCTGCTGCATACATTCCGGTGGTTCCATACGACAGTGAAGGTACGTCTAACGATATTACTTTTTGCAAAACAGTTGCATTTCCCAGCCATTTACTTGAAATTCGTGGTTCAAATGTAAGCGATGTATTTTTCCAGTATCTAAAAAGTATTTTTTTTAATATGTCCTTTTTGAATATCATAATATACTTACTCTTGAACTAACTCAGGGCATGTATTTAGTATCTTTAGCAGTAATTCCTGTTGTCGTAAATCATCCGCAGGCTTCAATGTCAAGATGAACTTTGCAAGCACACGGTTGTGGATGCGAGATGGCTTATCATCTTCTGTGGAGACTATGGCTGGATACCAAGCTGTATCACGAAAACAAACGCCTACATCAGGTACACTGCAAGATGAAATTAAAAAGTGATGCACTATGTCTGCCGGAGTAGCCGTTTCTTCAGAGTTGATAGGTTCAGGCTCATTTCGAGTATAAAGTTTTGCAATCTTTTCAAGTATATAAGAAGAGAAAAAGAAGGCCTTGGTGCTTCGTGGAACGGCTGGATCTAGGATAATGTGTTCATAGGTAGTATTGAGGATGAGTTCAATTAGCTATTATAGAAAGATGTTAACTATATATAATCGATTTAATAGTTTATATAAACATACAGGATAAGCATCTTCATACATTTGTGTAAACAAGGCACTCACGAGACCCTTTACACTCAAGACTTGTTTCTTTATTTCTGCATCCCCGTGTTGTATAAAGGCGAGTACGAAATATATATAGTTTGTTCGCAAGTCTATCAAGTGTTATTATTGTTCTAAAAAGTATAAATCTTAATTACCATAAAGATACTTTTGAGGGTTATTGTTATTCTTTCTATTCTGTCTATATCTCGAGGCACGTAAAAATCCCTGATATAAAGTTAGTTATCACACACACTCTGTGTATAGATACGTTACCTCTGCTTGAAAATTAAAAGTAATAAATAATTCTCTGGTGGTTGATGGATTGAATGAAGCCATTGCAGTTAATAGACGAAAGGTAGATTGACAATGTGGAATACGCATAGAAGATATGCCTCGATAAATATATTTCATTTGTCTTGAAAGAATGGTTTCTATAATCTGCAGCCCAAATGAGCGAATGACAGGTGTTGTACATAGTTTTATAAATAATCCAACAATATCTGGTAGCATACATTCGAGATCTTGAATGTTTGACTACATTATTATGTGAGTATGGATTGTTTTATATCTTGTTTTTTTGTTACCGATGCTTGATAATCCCATAAACTATTGATCTCATGACTATCTGTACATGACTGAGCATATTCAACAAGAGGACGGGTATGTTTTTCAGTTGGATCAACACGATCTTTGACTGCAAATGATAACTGAGATCTAAGCTTTGATAACCCTTTGGTGAGTGAAGCGAGATCTTTCACTTTTAAGGCATCTGAGACTTCTTTTGGTGTCTTGTAATAGTCTTCTAGCTGTAACCCACTCATAGTGAAAAAAAAAAGAGTTAAAATTTTGACAGGCCAAAACACTGGATTTTTCCCTTTTAAGTTCAGACACAGCATTTTTCTCTTTTAACAATGAAAAACACTAAAAAAACGAATGTTTCGATTCATTACAAGTTTATATGCAAATAACTCTACCGCGTATCTTTAAGTATACATGTGTTATTCTTTTCTAGTCTTTACAGTCATATACTTTAGAAAGAGAAAGGGAGAGAGCCACACGCTAAAAGTAAAAGGAATGCCCAAAGTCACACAAGGTTGAATATATATAAAGGGGGACAATAAGATATTCTTTGTCTTTTTTTCACATACAATTATTCTCATATGGAACACGCCAAAGCTATTAAAGATCGCGACATTAAGGCTATTTGTGACTATATATCCAACTATTGTGAGACTCACATTTGTGCTTCATTAAGCACTCAACACGTTCGATCCTTCTATACATTCTTTCCTACTTTACTGGACTTATTGTTTGGATCTCCAACAAAAAGGTAACACGCCATCGTTTCCTAAAAAGATGCTTTAACCCACTTTCTCTCTCTAGAGGATTCATGCAAACACAACTAGAACCTCATCAAGATGAAGCTCTTAAAAACTTGTTGTCGATTCAAGGTCCTTTTTTCCAATCTTTACTCAGGATCAGTCAATCGTCCGATTACTATTATGACCTATCTAATGAAAGTTTACCTGTAAAAAACTCGCTATACACCAAGGGCTATTGTCTAACTATATATATATAGTCTGAGGTTCGAAAGATCTTATCAACAGGTGCTATTCATCTATTACCTCAAGTGTACAAACACTGCAATGTCATCATGCCATCGTCACCTTCTGGCTCAATCATAGATTTTCATACATCAGCTACTAAACAGTCTTCTCTCTTACCGTCTGGTATCAGCTCAGAGAGAAAGATCCAATTAAATATATTACAGTTATACCTATATAACTTTGCCATCCTGCCCACTTGGTCAACAGCAACAGCACAATCGCCCATGTCTACATTCACAAGCACACCTCTTCGATCGCCGATGAATAAAACCGCGCCAAATACATCAACCATCTCCTTTTTGGACAGTAGTAGCCCACCACAACTCACTAAACCTGGTCGCAGCATAACGTCAAGCATATACACCGACGTCCTTGACAACTATCTCTCACGTCTGATCCCCATCAACGACCGGGCGTTTCCGGCCATTGTTGGGCCCTTTTTTATAGACGCACTGACTGAGCTCTGGATACGTATGCCATGGATAACCAATAATAACAGACTGAGCCCCACTCTCATGTATTACATTTCTCATTTTATCAATTACATTGTAAGGCATGATCTACGACGATCTGTAAATAATACCCAAGACAATGTATATACATACACATACAAGGCTACACGCGACGAATTGTACATGCTGACATCTAGGCTTGCCCTCAACTGGGACAAGACAGACGATTACATTCAGGCAAGTCTTTTTTTTTCTCTCTTCATTATGTTTAATCATATTAACTTTAGATTATCGAGCTCTGGTGTCAATGGGCTGCACCTTGGAAACTAGGCACACCATTTCGAAGTATCGAAAAGGAAAGCTTCTTACCCACACAGACAGACTGGGCACCGTTCATACTTGATAATGTGCCTTACTACTTTTCTGCGGTAGATATCTTGCTCAAAAGGATATCTACATTTTCATATACCGATTCGTTAACCATGTCAGTTGCTGGCCAGCTTCGTATCCTTTACCGATTCATCAACGTCTTTTATACCGCTCGAGATCTGATCGGGTTCTTGGCTCTTGTCGAAAAGGCGCTTGATCATGCTGGACATGCCTTTATCGAATGGGATCAGGAGATCGCAAAGATCGCCTATGGCCATACATCGGCTGCGGTCAAGGTGAAGGAAAAGATAAAGGCGGCGAGTGAGCGATTGACGCAGATCGAGGGAAAGACATCACAGTGGAGGTCAGAGCATCTATATGATACGGAGGAACAACAGGAGCGACGATCGCCTAGCTTAATAGCCGCTGTTTCCAATTTATATCATAATATCAACATACATGTGGCTGCCAGTAAGTGGCCTACAAGGTTGTCAAATAGACACCTTGAGCCTATGCAAGAAGCGTATCGTGTCTTGTCGACTCTGTTCAATATCAACAGTGCCCTGTTTGCTCCGTTGAAGACGACATCGGCCATACCGGAAAAGAGAACAGGGTTCACCCAATTGACGTTTGCTGGAAAACAGAATGGAGGGTATCTGACCGCAGAAGAAAAGGAGTTACTGAAGCAAGGTAAACTTGTCTGCTCGCCGCATAACATTCCAGCCGTGGGCCCTCGTAAGCATACCGTTGTTCGATCACACGAAAATGTCACGCTCGTGCGCTGGACTCTTTACTGGGATAAACAGTTGAATGAAATGGTATGTGCTGCTCAACTTTTTTAAGCTGCACTAATTTTTCTTCTTTCTAGCTGGACGCTTGGATTCCTTTAGAATATAGACCTAGATTTGTACCCAACAAGGTGACGACAAGGCCTCTTGCAAATACTGTAAATTTTACTTATGCATGTGCACTTTTATTTTTAATTCTTTATATTTTTTGCAAGCTATATCTGTAACATATTTTTCTCTATAAAGATACATAGTACGATCTTCCTCCCGGATTATGAATAGGTGATACATATATTTCCTGTTTATCTTTATCTTGAACAACCACTGACCATTCGTACCAAACTTTTTCACTGTCTGTCAATCTCCAGAAATGAACTGTTACAATCGAGTCCTTGGTGATCTCGACAGGCTGAGCCACAGGAAAAAAGATGGGGAACCAGCTAAACATGCCAGGCGAATGCGTTTCGGGGTGAATCGAGATTGTTACATCCTTGTAGAGTACACAGTCAAAGTAACCGGCCAGTCCATGCATCACCGCATCGTGGTCGACAACAAATTGAGCGTAGCTGTCTCGTTTGTTGTGTAAGTTGTTTATAGGCACGGTTGGTATGTTCTTATTAGGATGATAAAAGGTCCATAAATCCTCCGGCTCAGCTAATCTATACGCCTGCTGGAACATGACAACATAGGGAGTCTCAAAGTTTTTGAGATCATTGTAGGCAGCAACGCTGTTACGTATCCGCGTAGATGCTAAGGGTGCAATAGATGTTGTGTATGAAGAAGGAATAGAAATACCACCCTCTGAAAAAAAAATAGAAGCGTTAGCCTACAAACTCTTTTTTTTTTTTTTTTTTTTTTTTTTTTTTTTTTTTACCTTTGAGAAACTTTTGAGCTCCATCCAAGCATTCAGGTGACAACTCATTATCACCAAAAGAACCCAACAGTTCACTCACCAATATATCACACTTTGTTTCTGGATTCCATGTTCTCATATCTGCAAATACCAAATCAACTTTATCTCCCCATACTTGTGCCTTCATGTTTTGTAACCTATCAGATCATTAATAAAAGTAAAAACAAGGTGTATGCGTATTTTACGTCACATAAGCATTCGGGTTCTTTTCAAGCGCAATAAGGTGAATTTTGCGTAATGACTTTTCTGCAGCGCGGAGACAGCAATTGACTAAAGGCCCTCTTCCAGCGCCCACAACCATAATAGTTCTACAATATATTAATATCTTTTTTATGAAAAAGACTAGATCATATCTTACGTAACAACATCCGATTGATACTCAACACGTTCTAACAATGCTTGATAGACAGCCTATGGATAAAGCTGTTAAAAAAATGTTTGATCTCCCTTTATACATTACTCTTTCATATTGTTGATACTTGATAGGATCCCTTTCAAAAGTCTCATACGTATGATTTTCGAGGTTATCAGCTAATGGCTGCAAAGGGATCTGAAGATAATCAAAATACCCAGACGCAAACTTTTCTACTTCATTTGGTTCCGGTAAGTTTCTGTTCAAATAATGCATGTATTGGTTATAGGAAGCAGGCGAGGCTGCAGGATGAATAGGGTCCTTGGGCACCGTGACAATGATATCTGGTCTCATCTTGTCCATCATCATCTTGATAAAGTTCTGATGTCGCTTTGACAAGACAGGGAATCCCTTTTGGTTGGGCACAAAGACATGTGCAGGAACGATCAAGGCTCGGACAGGTTCTGCTAACCACATGTTGAGAAGTGCTTCTGAAGAAGGTAACTCGGCTGTCACTTCGAGCGCTACGCCTATTCTGGTGTTGTGGCCTGTCAGCAGACGCAATCGGTTCCATCGTTTCCATCCTACATTTTCTTCCTTGTTCTTTTCGGTCAACAATACCCGGACGCATAGCTGAGGTGTCATGGTTCTCGATACCGTATTGAGTACACGAGCCGTGCTGTGTACTTGTTCACCAAGTGTAGGAAAGATAGTGCCCGTTAAGCCAATATGTGTGGCCCAATCGGCTTCTTGTTTAAAGGCAATTTCTGAACATGTTCGAATGTCGTCACTAGGTGAATCAAGGTCAATCCAGTCTGAAAAGAGGCCTAAGACCTTACCAGACCACTCTACAATAGTTGTATAAATAATCGTGTAGCGTGTATATATATGATTACTTGCCTGGAGAATTCAAAAGTAAATCTTGACGATCAAACACGGGTTGATCTTTCCATGCCTCATGCTCTTCTTGGCTCAGTGTCCTATCTTGATTCAATACACGTCGAAATGAGGGTTTGGTGATTGGAGCAACAACAAAGTCATGTGTGGTTGTGTCTGCAAACTCAATAAATCTACTTATATCTGTAACTTCTTCAGTTGCTAATAAGCCAATATTGCAAGAACGCGACATGATCAAAGTTGAATAAAAAAGACTTTTTTTTTTTATACTTTGAGGGAATAAAAAAAGAGCGGGAAATCAAACCAAACAATGAGCATAAAATATATTATTTGCACACTCTCAGAAAAAATTGCACACTTCAGATTTGGCTTTTTGCATAGTTTCGAAAATATAAATTTCTTACATGAACTTCCTTTTTACCAAGGAGATGTATATGGAGACGTTGTAGATGAGTATGGCAGAGAACCTATCTTAACGAATGTAGACAATAGTAAAAGTCAAGATGAAATCATTCGCCGTCTTCAAAGGTTCGAAGAACAAATGGCTGATCAACCTGAACCTATCTTAAACAATATAATGAATAATGCAAGGTAAGAAATTCTATAATATATGTTTTAAATCTTCGCACTTCAGATTATTAATATCAGTCAATATACTTGAATCCTCATTGTTAAGTAAGTGACAAAATTGGTCTTGGCTGTTTGGCTTCATAGACCCTGATACCTTCATTTGTTTGATGTTGATGTACGTGCATAGCAAGAACAAAAGGGCTTATACTGCTTGTATTCTTTTATTTGTTTGAAAGGTAAATAGTCATGTGAATCAGACAAGTTGCCATGCTATTATTATTCTGCCGCAATAGAATAAGCACAGCTTCACATATGGCAGCTATTGCGACATTTGCAGTAATAGAAATTGCAGACGTAGTTTTACATACAGAAATAAAGAAATTATCCATATATAATTAAAAATCGATGATAACGATTACACTTAACAATTTTCATTACAAACTTTTTCTTATTGTTTCCAACTTGAAAGCATATAATTATACATAAAATGAGCTTGATATTTCTGAGACTTGTATGATGTCGTCAACACTTATGAATAACACGTAGCTGAAAAAGTTGTTAACGAGTTTGCAAATAGTCTGATCTTGACTTCTTTTTCTTTTCCTTCCTTCTTTGGACCAAAAAGACCAGCTATTCCCCAACTAGTCCTAAAGTATGTTTTATTCTTTACTCTTGCAAGAAACTGACGCGTAATATTATAGATCATAAAATCGAAAACAGTACCGGTGCTAGTTGGGGGGGATAGTTTGGTTCTTGCCAAACTTTGGTCCCATCCGCTCTCTTTCTTGCTCTCTCTCTTGGTTTCTCTTTGCTTACTTCTTTTTTTCCCCTTCTTTCTCCGGACTGGTTATCGTCAGCCTTATTTAATGCACTTCGTGCAAGATATTCATAATCTCTTTACAAGGCTACTCACTTTTCTTGCTTCTCTCTTTTTCTCTTATAAACTCTCTTCTTTATAATGTAAGTATTTAATATCAATGTAAATAACTGATTTACTAGTCATTTCTTTATTCATTCTTTTGCTTCTGATGGACTTTTGTGATTATTTGTTGTCTCTTTTATTATTATTTGTGAATAGAGTGTAAGCATAAAATTACGTAAAATGATCTTGGTTATTGTTTACTGGTGGGCTCTTATTTATTTACAGTTTGTGAATAAAGTGTACGCATATTATTTCTTAAGTGGATCTTTTTTAGGTACTTCTGGAAACTGCAACTTCTTTAATCGCTCCTCTGCTTCTTTCTTTTGAATCCTTTTTGTATATTCACGCTGACGCAGATAAAAGTAATCCTTTTGCAAAATGAATCGTACTGGCTGTTGTTGTTCTATCTTTTCCTCCTTCTTTTCTACTTCTGACCCTTCCTCTTCTTTCTTGTCTTCTTTCTTGTCTTCTTTCTTTTCTTCTCCTTTATCTGTATCTTTGGAAGACCTCCATGATTTCCAAGCAGACCCTAATGTCGACACTAAATCACTCACACTATCACTCTCTGGCTTTCGTGCTTCCAACTTTTCCCTTTTTGCAGCCTTTAGTTGAGGCGAGGTAGGCTTGGAAGAACCACCCAGTTTTGTACAAAAGTTGACATCACCCAGGTGACTTTTACATACTGGAAACCAATCTGTGTTGCTATTGTCTGCTAAAGTCAAGACAACATTGGAGAATTTGTTACATACAAAACAAGGTCTCTCATTCGTAATTAGTCGGGCTATATACAGGTTTTGCATCAAAATCAAAAAAAAAAATAAATCATGTGGTCAAGTTGAACAGAAGGACAATAAAAAGGAAGAGCACGGACTTTTCTAAAGTGGGTAGTCTTGTGATCACCAAGAGATGAGAAGTGACCCATTCTCTCTCTTTCTTTCTTTTTCTTTCTTTTCTTTTTATAAAACATGACAGAAGATAGCGAAACTAAAAAGCTACAGGATAAATTAGGATATGCTGACATCCATCTTACGACTACCTCTCCTTTACAGAAACAACCCAGGACAAACTCAAACATCCATGTCACCATTAGAGAACCTAAACCACAAAGACCTATACCTGCCCTGGAGAAAAAACGGTCGTTCAGGGAGGAAACGCCCATGCAACGATCCAATAGTCTACAAGGCGAATGTGTCTGTCAAAAGAAGATGGATACAAGGAATCCAGAAGATATCAAAGAGATGGCTTCTAGACTCTACGAAATGGCCGATCGAATGCTCCAATCGCTATCATTGGAAGAAAAGAATAAGCCGAGACCATCAAGTAGTACACCGATAAGAAGAAGCAGTACACGTAGTTCGCCTGATATGATCTATCGACAGAATTATCCAGAGTACATGCTCCCTCCGCCGCAGCCCAGGGTGCCTCTTAATTATTATTATTATGCTCCCATAGAATATGATAACTCTCCCTTAGATTACTATTACGTACCACGAAGACCACGAAGAAGAAAATCAATGAGCCAGGTATCAGATGAAGAATATACAAGACTAAAACGAAAAAATTCAAAGCGAATGCAAGAACCTGTTTATGATGCGTATTATTATGATTATTATTACTAACAAAGTTCATCAAGAAACTCTTTTACACTATATACAATAAAATAATCAGTCATTGATTCCCCCTCCTTTATATTTTTTTTTTACCTTGGGGCCACACTTTTTGTCTTTAACAAAACCTCTTTCCATTCCTCTTCAGGATCCGACAAGAACGTGATCGCACCTCCGCCACCCACGGAAAGATGTCGATCCACAATCACAGCTGTTCGTATGACCACATTAAAATCGGCAGCTCCATTCAACGAAAAGTAACCGAGACAGCCCGAATAGACTCCTCGGGGCCGATGATCCTCTAACTGATCCAACAGCTGCACTGCACGTAACTTGGGCGCACCCGTCATCGACCCAGGTGGGAAACAGGTCTGAAGGGCCTTGACGCCATTGACCTCTGGGTAGAGCCGACCACGGATGGTCGAGACGAGATGATGCACCTTTTCAAACGTTTCGACATGCATCAGTTTGGGCACACAGACCGTGCTTGGCTTGCACACCTGAGCGAGATCGTTACGGATCAAATCGACAATCATCAAACTCTCGGCTCGTTCCTTGACGTCCTGCCACAGCTTCTGTTTCTGCTCTTCGTCCTTGAGTCGTCGTTTCGATTCACATTGCTCGTCAGAGCAGTGTTTGGTACAGACACAGTCGAGCGCTCGACTGATCGTGCCCTTGATCGGCTTCATCTCTGCCACCTTGTCGACATCCAGCTTGAAAAATCGCTCCGGACTGGACGACATCAGGGTCAGTTGAGGGAATCGCATCAGGGCCGAGAAGGGCGCCGGGTTGTTCTTGCGCAGATACTGTGTGTACAGCCGCGTAGACACATGAGGAAGGTCCAGTCGGAACCGCGTCGTCATACAGATCTCATAGGCATCACCTTCCTTGATCGACTGCACGCATTGATCGATCGCACTGAGGTATCGGTTGTGGTCCGTGTCAGGGCTCATTGTGTTGCAGTAGATCGTCGGTGACAGGGGCGGTGTGGCTACAGGCAGGATGTTGATCTTGTTCTGAATCTTTACCAGTTGATTTCTTTGATCGTTCAGCCAACGGGTCGCATCGTTGTCATCGTGAAACCCAGCACGTGAGAGGAGTGTATCCTGTCCTGTTTCCCGCACAAGACACCAGATGTGGACTTCTTCCTTGGTATGATCAAATACAAAGAATTTGTCGGTGAATTGAAATGCTGCGTCGGGTTCTCTCACGCATAAACAGCACCCGTTATTGTGCTCAAGTCTGTCACATCTGCACTGTTGTTCCTCTGGTACCTTGTATCCTTCCATGCTTTCCCGTTTCATCTCGTACCCAAAATAACCTACAAGGCCGCCTTGGAAGGCTACGTTCGGTATCGGTGAACCATCGACATGGCGCACATCAGTAATGCTCGTGCGAGACAAAAGATCAGATAAAGTGTCAAAAAAGGTGCCTTGTATCGTCTCCACATGCTCTTGTTCTTCTGTAATCGTCAATTGATGATGTAGGGTCGAGTAGGAAAGGGTAAATGCAGGGCGCATCGACACGATCGATAACCGAGAATACGGTGATGACTTACGGCTGCTGTCTAGCCAGCACATTGCTTCGTTTTCCCCTATTTTCTCCACAATCAGCTCGGGATCAATCCAGCAGGGTGCCGTCTTGACAAGTGCATGGAATTTTTCGGTTATTTTTGGTATCTCTATCTTGGGTCGTGCGGCTGAATAAGATAACACTTGAGGATTGAACGGTCGTCTGGATATATTCATCTACTCCAAATAATATTAGTATATCGTCTTGCTTTAAAACGTCTTACCTTTTGCATCCAAAGTTTCGTCTCGTTCTGAAAGTTGCGCATCATTTGATGTCCATGTTCAGTCGATACTGATTCAGGATGAAATTGAACACCCCACAAGGGCAGCCGTTTATGTCGAAAGGCCATGACAGTCATCTGATTTGTTCTTTGATCGTTGACATGCGATAGGAAGTGATGGTGCTTTGTCGTAGATGAAGGTTGGTCGGCAATGTACGCTGCATTCTGTAGTGCTTCCGTATCAGCTTCATTCTCAAAACAGTATCCAGTAAGAATCAAATCGTCGGGTAAAGCTGTGGATGATATTAATAAACACGTTGTATATAATATCGCCATAAATAGTTACTGTCTTTGTCAACAACAAGAGAATGGTATCTAACAGCCCAAAATGGTGATTGGCAGTGAGCGAGTATATCATGATCTGAATAATTGATATGAATTTGTGACATTCGACCATGCATAATTCGTGGTGCATATGTTATCTAACATTCATATTAATATACATGTATCGTATCATCCATGGGATTCTACCTCTCCGCCTAGTAGATATCCTATCCCCTGGTGTCCTAAGCATATGCCAAATATGGGTCGATGATAATCGGATTGTGATGGGTCTAGCTGTGCCTGTAATAACTGTGTACAGATGCCAAAATCCTTTTAAAGGTGTCAGTTATAGAGCATTATGTGGTCCATCCAACTTACAGATGATCTTTCCGGTCTTCCAGGGCCGGGTGAGATGATGACATTGTCAAAGTAAGGTAGTACATCTTTTACAAATTGATCCCTATTTAAGCTTAATATCACCCCCTTTTCATTGTTGACATGGTCACTTACCAACCGAATTGATCATTTCTGATGACGACAACATCTTCAGGACGATCAAATAGTTGTAATAGATTAAATGTGTAGGAATCATAATTATCAATAATAAGTGTCTTTAAAACCATTTTGCTTTAAAGAAAAAAAAAAAAAAAAAATCAAAAAGATGCAACAATAAAAAAAGATTTTGAGCTCAACCAATCAAAAGACGAAAAGATAGAATCCACAGAAAATTAAAAGATCATTTCCATTTTAGTAGAATGTAGATTTCTTTTTTTTTTATTCTTACTCTAATTTATCCAGATGATCTAGTCTTGTCAATACTATGTTCTTACTCGTCTCTTCTATTTCTCCTGCCAGGAATACTTCATCCAATATAGCATAAACCTAAGGACTGTTAATATAATTGACATGATTGGATGGCTGTGTTTTACCTTGTAAAAATTAAACACTAAATCCAATTCACAGACATTACCAAAGAACGCATCCAACACTTCGACAAAGAAATGAATTGCTTCCAAATATGCTAATTCATTATCATTCGCATCAACACATATGCAAAAGAAGAGTCCAGCATATCTTCTGTACACAATTTTATAATTACGATACTGAAAAAAAGGTGAATACAGGTTCAAATAGATGTTATCTATTCATTACCTCGACAAAGTTACTCTGGTGCTTTTGATCTCTGGGTGCAACCAATCTGTGAACTTCTCCTTTCAGCTTCATTTTCTCTTCATCTTCATAAGGAACATACCATTTGGCTAATCTCGTCTTTCCTTGTCGATTTTGTACTAGAATAAAACGTAGCTAAACTACACTTGTAAGTAAAACCAGAAAAAGAAGAAATGAATAATGATTATTACCATATGGTATTTTATTTGTGAAATGAGGGCAAAACTTGGCCTTACTGCTGAAACGAAAAAAGAAGAATTTAATGCTCATTTTCCCCTTCAAAAAGGACATACAAAGTCCGACATCCTTCCAAACGGGTAGAAAATAAGAAAAGAATGTATGATCAGTTTTCCGTCGATCAAAAGCTTTAAACACAAAAGAAGAAAGTAAACACCGAGCAACAATAAGCAAAATGTATAAAAATGGTCACCACATCGCTTCAGGTCACCCTCAAAGATGATAATGAAAGTGTATTAAATACTTTAAGAAAAGGACAAAAGATAGCATCTGATGTCTTACTAGACATCTCTATCATCATAAAACTTATGATTATTTACAGAGGTAACACTATTAGGATTTTAGCAAAGGCGGGTCAATGCTGATATACTCTTACTTTATGGGAAACACTACATGCACGAAAAAATTCACGACAGAGTGGCTAATCATACGGATTCTTTTTCTAAGCGCTACATATGACATCATTTCACAGCTTTACACTACCAAAGTCTCTACCTAATCTAAGGCTATCCTGAGGGAATATTCATAAATGTAAAATATACTTGAGTTGATCTTGGTTCTTTATTGATTAAACTGACAACATAAAAAAGTTAAAATACAGCAATAGCATTTTATCTCTTTCTTCTTGAAAAGAAACAATTTCAATATAGCAACTTTATAAATTCATATTTAGCTTGATGCTACGAACTGAAAAGCTTTGTTAGACTACATCACAGATTAAGGTAGTGCCAGTAGAATTAGCCGCTTTTTCGTGAATTTTTTCATGCATGTAGTGTTTCCCAGTTTTATTATAGTGGAGAAAATAAATCAAACAATACCCAAGGAAGCACAGCAAGATGAAATAAATCTAATCCTAAGTATCCCTCAGCTCATATTGAAGAAGGGCTTATTATTGCAGAAAATTAGGCCAGCAACTACATCAACAAATTAGCAACAGCAAAAAGACAATAAGGACTGCCTATTTAATACTATCTTTGATTTGAACAAGATAAAGCAATTGTATAAAAGCCGGGACACAAAGTTTGATTATAGATTAGTCATCACCAGCTATGACATTGTACATCTTCAAGTTACTAGCTCTGGTTCTTCTACAGCAACAATAACAAAGGCAGGACCTAGCAGCAACAGACAAAAGAAAAAGGGTCATGGATGATGAAAATGCTCTCTATGAAGCTATCAAACAACAAAACAGCATAATAGAAAGAGATATAACCAAACTATTGCTGGAGATATACATGATATCCAAAAGATGATAAATAATGTCAACGTACAGATAAACCACTCTCTTAATGATATCACAACAAAGAAAACCTTGATAAGCGAACGATAGATATTAAAGATATCCATGAAGCGAAGGTATAGAGTCATGCTTGAAGAAAGATTATGGAATGCAAGAATGAAAGGGCAAATCTTTATGAGTCATTGCTGCCAAGCGAAGATGCAGTAGAAACATATCTTTATTCGGAATAAAGTAAAGAGAAAAGGAATGATAGTACAATCTATATTTATGTCGTGCTTTCTCTCTGTGTAGAGAACGAGCCATGAATATGGTTTTGGGTATTTAGAGTTTTTCCTTCCAAGCTTATATTTAATGTGTCTGTTGTAACATGCCAAAAAGTTTATTAAAATAATACATTTATTCTTAATTTAGCTTGATTCACCACGTTTTTGAACCATCACCTTCATTCCTTGAAGCATAGGTAAAGTCAAGGAGACCTGATAAGTGACCTCCTGATTAGGCACAAGAGTGAACTTGTACCTCTTGAGCAAGAACACAATAGCCACCAGTGCTTCGAGTGTCGCCAGATTCTGACCTAGACAGACACGCGGACCTGCATGGAACGCTGGCCATTGACCTTGATTCTGTCGCTTGAGCTCACCCTCTTCAATCCACCTCTCCGGCTTGAACTCCTTGGCATCCACTCCCCACACCTTCTCGCATCGACCTTGAGCATAGGGGCACCAGAGAATATAGTCACCTTTACGTATTTGTGTGCCATCAGGCCAGACGTCGTCATCGAGCGCATACTTTTGGTTCAGAGGCACAGAAGGGTAAAGTCGTAAGACTTCGTAAAAGACAGCATGAGCATAGGTCATGCCCTTGATCGTCTCGTACAGTGTCGATGCGTCATCTGTTTCGGACACACATTCAATCTCTTCCATCAGCTTGGCTTCCACCCGTGGATGCGTCAGAAGCATATAAAAGGTCCATGAAAGAGCCTGTGCGGTCGTGTCACGTCCGGCGATCACAAAATTCAATACAATATCTCTCAGTTCGTCCGTGTTCAAAGCTTCTCCTTCTGCGTTCTTGGCCGCCATGAAACGAGACAGAAGGTCCTTGTAGACCTCGCCACGTGCCATCTGTTCTCGACGCTGCTCAATCACATTACGAGCAAATGAATCGACGACAGCCAAATGGTCCTTCATTGTCTTTTTCCATGGCATTGTTACTCGCATAATTCGTTCCGTGATTGGCCAGATGGGATTCACAAATCGTTGGAAAGTTGACTTTTGTGCTTCGTCAAATGCGACTGCAAAGGGGACCCTTTCTGCTGATCCAAGCGCGTTCAATTGTACACCAAATCCGATGCTAATGAATTGTATGAATAATAGTTGCTTTATGTGCTTTGTGTGCTTACAGAATAAATGAATCCAATGTAAACTTAAACATCACATCATGAAAATCAACTACTGTGCCTGAATCAGCTGCTTTATCCCAAATGTGTTTTGACATGTAATCAATTTCTTTTATAAAGACACTATTTTCTATTAGTCCCCGAATGCGTCTTTACGTATCTAATATTACTCTGTAAAATGATCCCTAAAGTTCTTGACATTGAATATGTGACTTGCTGTCTTTCGCTGATACTTCCAGTGTTCACCATTTGCATTAAAAATACCATTTCCAAACAAATCGTTCATTGCACCATGAAACTCAGGGCCTTTGATATAATTTTCAAAATTGTCTATTGTTTCGAGTAAGGACATGTTTTTCTACATATATTTTTTTGGAATTTTACTTTTTAAAACGTGTTCTACATTGCGTGGATCAAGTGTGGCAATATGTCTGGGAATACCAAGTGCTGACATAGTGCTTTTTTTTTAAAGGTATGAGTTTTTTTTTTTTTTTTCTATTATTTATTTACCTGCTAGGTGTATCTGA